ATAGAGAAAAAAGTGCTAAAAAGGGTGTTCAAACTAAAAATATTTAAAATTAAAAGTTTAAAGAATTAAAATGACATTTAATTTTTAAAAAATTTACTTATAAATCATTTTAAAAGTAACTAAGATATAGTAAAATTATAAATATAATTTGTTCTTTTTAATTAGGATCATAATTATTAGATTATATGCATATATTTTGTCTGTTTTAAAATAATTGTGACTTTTTCTTTAAATTAAAAATGAAAATTTTTAACATATGTTCTAAGAGTAAAGGTTAAAACCTCTTCGTCATTAATTTGCACAAAAAAAAAAAAAAAAAGACTGACTTGAGTTTTGTCAGTCCGGTTAAAATATTTTACTTGACATTAGTACTGAAAATAAATTTATTATTGTAATTTTGTATGTAAATTAATGATAAAAAAATATAATAAATGCACCCCTTAATCTATAATCTAAGGGTAAAAATTAAAAAAGACCTATTAAAAATTTGAGGATAATTTATGTATTTATTTATAATGTCTTTAAAAAAAGATAGAAAATAAATAGAGAATTTTAATGATTATATGGTCAATTTTAGAAAATACAAAAATAAATATTAATTTAAGACAAATTAAAAAATTATTATTTTAAACTAAAAAATATTTTTTAATCACAGGTTAAAATTAACTTTTCACTCATAGACTCAAAATAAGCCTCACATTAAGATTATGAGACACTACTATTATTTAGTAGTATCTTATACAACTTTTTAATGACAGTTAGAGTTGACTAACTTCTTCATTTTTCTCTTTTATTTTCTTTTGTCTCTCTAAAAATAATTTGATTTTATTTTAATTTTATAAATACTTTGATTTTTAAAAATATTTTGATAGGTAAAAATTTTAAGTTGAGTAATGACAATTGGTATAATTTTTATAAATTTTTTTTTTATTTTTTCAATATATTTTACTTAATTTATATATATATTTATTTATATAGAGTTTTTTTTGTCTTTATTCTTTTGAAACTATTTCTATAGTAGTTATTTTTTAAATTTATGTATTTGTGTGAAAATTTTTTAACTTAATCTTAAAATTAATTACATTTTAAATTAAAAAAATTAGATTTGGTAGAACAATTTTAATATTATAAATTTTTAGTATAAAGTATTAGATTTTTTAAAATTTATTAAAATATTCAGAAATTATTTATTTAGTATTAAATTTTTTAATATATATTTTATATTATTATTTATTTTTAATAATAATCATTTTTATTCTTTCAAACGATAAATACAGTAAAGATCCCACAAACGAGTTTAATAATGTTAGTTTAGTTTAAATACGTTTAGATTGACATGCATGTCCCACTTACGCTGACAATTCTTCAATCAGTGTTTGGCTTTTGATCAACATGTTGGTTCCCTTCTGCGGAAAATGAAACCCCGTGGAAATTTTCACCGATAGCATGTATAATTGAGAACAAAAGAAAATTTTACTTTCCCCAGTGACACGATGATAAATAATATTATTATATATAACTATTTAAAATTTAACTAAAATATTTAATAAAAACACTTTTTTTATTAATATTTTATTTTATAAATCAGATTATATTATATTATAAAATTAAATTCCTTAGATTTATGAGACCTTTTTTTATAAAGTCAATACGGATGGATCACATGGTCATCGCTCGGGTAGGGCGGCAGCTGGAGGCCTCATACGCGATCACAATGGACGATGGTCTCATGGGTTTGCAGTTAACGTTGGTCTCACAACAAGTTTGATGGCTGAGTTGTGGGGCTGTAGAGAGGGTCTCAAGCTAGCTGCCTCTCTGGGAGTGCAGCAATTGATCTTAGAGATGATGGACTCCTTACTGGCAATTCAACTCATTCAAACCCGGCAGGTATCAGTTGGACCAGCTTCAGTGCTTCTCACGGACATCTTTCTATTGATAGATTCTTTTAGCCACTGCTTGGTACAACACACCCTCAGGGAGGAGAATTCGGCTGCAGACTTTATGGCATCCATGGGTCATGATTTAACGTTGGGCACTACATTCTTCCCCACACCTCCACGGGGTATTCATATGATCTTACAAAGTGATTCTGTTGGGACCATGTTTCCTAGGAAGTAAGCTGAAATAATAGCTTCTGATGTACCAAAAAAAAAAGAGATATTTTTTTTATTTAAAAGTTCTTATTTTACAATTTAATATAACTTAAATTGTAAAATAATTTCACTTTTTTTTTCTTTAATTTGCATATCAAAATCGAACTTCTTTCAAAAGTCATACAAAGCTTTTGTTTGGGAGCGCCTATTAGTGCGTTACCTTTTTTTTTTTATGTTTTTTATTAAATGTTTTAAATATATTTTATATAGTATTGTAATGTTAAAAAATTAAAAAAAAACTACAATTACATATACAGTGCAACACTTTAAAATTAAACTTAATATGATATTATTTAACTAAAAAAAAAGACTCTAAATTATTTTTAAAAAAAAATAAATTATCAACAATTTGATCATTTGATCTAACCACATTCAATTAAGAATTGCCAAGCCACCAACCACTTTTAAAAGTTCTTCATAAAAAAAAAAAAAGGGTAAAAAGAAAAGGAAAGGTCGTAGAAAATGAATTGCATTGCCTGTGCCACTTATTATTATGTTGTGCCGTTTTTAAAAAGAAAAAAATTTAGAGAAAATAAATTGAACCGCTTGACCCAAGATACTAATCACTTTTAAAAGTTAAAAAAAATGTTTAATGTCACTAAAAATCTTTAAATTATACAAAAAGAACAATTACCATTCCTCTACTAAAAAAAACAATTCATAATAATCTATATATTAATTTTGGAAAAAGGCCAAAAGAGAAAGATCGGAGAAAATGAATTGTACCGCCTGACTAAAGTCATTATATTGCGCTGCTTTTAAAAAGAAAAGATTTGGAGAAAATGAATTGCACTGCTTGACCCCAGCTACTAGCCATTTTTATAAAGTTAAAAAAAAAAAAAGGTTTAATGCCACTAAAAATCCTAAATTATACAAAAAGAGCAATTACCATTCCTCTAGTAAAAAATAATTCATAATAATCTTTTAATTTTGGAAAAAACGCCTAAAGGGAAAGATCGCAGAAAATGAATTGCATCGCCTGACCCAAGTTACTTATTATTATATTGCACTGCTTTTAGAAAGAAAAAATTTGAAAAAAATGAATTGAATCGATTGACTCAAGTTACTAGCCACTTTTATAAAGTAAAAAAAAAAAAAAAAATTAATGTTACTAAAAATTCTTAAATTATACAAAAAGAGCAATTACCATTCCTCTACTAAAAAAAATTCATAATAATCTCTTAATTTTGGAAAAAGGCCAAAAGGGAAAGATCGAAGAAAATGAATTGCATTGCCAAACCCAAGTCACTTATTATTATATTGCACTGCTTTTAGAAAGAAAAAAATTGGAAAAAATAAATTGCACCGCTTGATTCAAGTTACTAGCGACTTTTATAAAGTAAATATATGGACCGTGATTGGTACACACTCGGATCCAACATTTGGGTGTGTACCTCCCACATAAAAAAAAAAAATGAATCGGATGATGGACATTTTTTTTATATGATGTGTGTACACCCGGGTGTTGAATCCGGGTGTGCACACATCATTTTCCTAAATATATATATATATATATATAATCTCACTGAAAATCCTTAAATTATAATAATCTCTTAATTTTGGAAAAAGGTCAAAAGGGAAAGATCGGAGAAAATGATTTGCATCGCCTGACCCAAGTTACTTATTATTATATTGCACTGCTTTTAGAAAAAAAAATTGAAAAAAATGAATTGCACCGCTTGACTAAAGTTACTAGTCATTTTTATAAAGTAAAAAAGAAAAATTTAATATCACTAAAAATCCTTAAATTATACAAAAAGAGCAATTACCATTCCTCTACCAAAAAAAAAAAAATCATAATAATCTCTTAATTTTGGAAAAAGGCCAAAAGGGAAAGATCGAAGAAAATGATTTGCATCGCCTGACCCAAGTCACTTATTTTTATATTGCACTGCTTTTAGAAAGAAAAAAAATTGGAAAAAATGAATTGCACCGCTTGACTCAAGTTATTAGCGACTTTTATAAAGGAAAATATATATATTTAATCTCACTAAAAATCCTTAAATTATAATAATCTCTTAATTTTGGAAAAAAGCCAAAAGGGAAAGATCGGAGAAAATGAATTGCATCGCCTGACCCAGGTCACTTATATATTACTATATTGCACTGCTTTTAGAAAATAAAAAAATTGGAAAAAATGAATTGAATCGTTTGACTAAAGTTACTAGTCATTTTTACAAAGTTAAAAAAAAAAAAGATTTAATATCACTAAAAATCCTTAGATTATACAAAAAAGAACAATTACTATTCCTCTACTAAAAAAAATTCGTAATAATCTCTTAATTTTGGAAAAGGCCAAAAGGGAGAGATCGGAGAAAATGAATTGCATTGCCAGACCCAAGTCACTTATTATTATATTACATTGCTTTTAGAAAGAAAAAAATTTGGAAAAAATTAATTGCACCACTTGACTCAAGTTACTAGCCACTTATAAAGTTAAAAAAAAAAAAAAAAGATTTAATGTCACTAAAAATCCTTAAATTATAATAATCTCTTAATTTTGGAAAAAGGCCAAAAGGGAAAGATTGGAGAAAATGAATTGCACCGCTTGATCCAAGCCACTTATTATTATATTGCAGCGCTTTTAAAAAGAAAAAATTTAGGGAAAATGAATTGCACTGCTTGACCCAACCTACTAGCTACTTTTATAAAGTAAAAAAAAAAAAAAAAAAAAAGATTTAATGTCACTAAAAATCCTTAAATTATACAAAAAGAGCAATTATCATTCCTCTACTAAAAAACAATTCATAATAATCTCTTAATTTTAGAAAAAGGCCAAGCTTAGTCCTTTAGTTGATGGACGTTATCACTCCGTTAGTTCTTCAGTTAAAATTTTTGTTTAGCTCCGTAGCACTCTTACATGGCATGCTGACGTGGCACCATACAAACTCTCCCTGCCAAAAATACAAAACTCCTTGCAGTTATATAATATTCTTTTTTTATATAGTCGATCCTTTTTAAAAAAATTTATTAATAATGTTTTAATCATTTTCATTTTTTTTAAACAGCTATGATATTATTACTCTAAATATAAAAAGGTACTCTAATCCTTATAACCCATGAGTTTCTTAACAGTAAATTGAGCAAACTGCATCCTATTCCTTTAACAATATATCAAGCATATCCGAAAAAATCAATTCACTAAATGCTTGTAATATTAATAAAGTTCTAAATCATGTCTTCTACTCCATAAATATCTATTCAATGCTGCATGCCACTAGTTTTCTCAATCTTTAGTTGTATTTGGGATTACTTTTCCACTATGTTTATTCACATAATACCGTATAAATGTGTTAATTTACTATAATTAAATAAAATTTAATTGATATTTTTTTATAATTTTGTGATCATATTAATATATAAGGCTGTTTTCAAAGCAACATTAAATAATTACATAATTTTTTATAATATATAAAATATTACAAAAGCTTTAACCACACCACTTTACATTAATTCCGAACACAATGACTCCAATATTTTTCATGGTAACATTGTTTGAATCTTAATTACTTCTTTTCTTCTGTTTAACTTTAGTTGACCTATTTTTTCTCTAATAAAAAAAAGATGTAATAATTAATTAATCATTTTTTAATGTATTCCTTATTGATTAATATTCCTAATTAATTATTATCTAAATAAGTGTGTTTATTAGAATATGTGTTGTAATTATCTCTTAAAATAAGAGTAAAATATAAATAAACTATTTAATTACATTAAAATAAAAAAGTGAACAACTAATTGTACCTGCTTTAAATTGTGGAAGGTAAGATGACTAAAATTGAATAAAGAGAGTAATTTATTAAGAGTAAATTAATGCTATAACATTTGTTAAGTTTGGCACTTGTGAATTTCAATTTTCAACAACATATTAAAGTCTTCATTTTTAATTTTGCCTTTATTAATATATAATGAGTTTCTATTTATACATTTTAGAGCACAGGTTAAATATATAATAAATATATTTTTTTAATCAATTTTCATTGAGAATGTAAATGTTGACTTTGATTTGATTAATTAACTAATTAAAGTCATCCACATGTTACTATTGTTAAAAAATATATCAACTTTTGTAATTTTTTATATATGTAAATTAATTACAAAAATATATTTATTATATTATTAACATGTACTCTTAAAATACAATATAGACAAACGCATATATAATTACCTTATTCTTAAAAGGAACGCATTTCAATATCCCAAACTAGCCTCACCAATAAAGGTCAATATTAATAATAAGTGTGTTTTTATAGTTTTTCATAGTTCTTTTATAATTGTATTAAGAAAAAGTGTGATAAATAACATAGAATAGAGATAGTTGCTTAATGAATTACAGTTTACGATTAAATAAATTTAAGAAATTCTTAAAGATTCTTTTACAAATTTATCCTTTAATTTCCTATTGCGTAAAAAAGTCAAAAATATATTTCCAATAACATAAGATGTGTCGTCATTGCCTTGTTAACATTTTATTAACACCGTTAGTGCCATGTTAACGTTTTGTTAACACCATTACTGCTATGTCAGCATTTTCATTAAGGGATACCAATATGCGGAAAACAGTTGGCCGCTTCACTAAAGTTGGGGAATAATTATGAATTTTTTTTTAGTAGTGGGATGACAGTAACTCCTTTTACAAAGTACAATGGTATTTAATGACATTAGGCAAAAATAAATAAATAAATAAAATAAAGAAGCCAATTTTAAGAAGTCCAAAAAAAAAAAGAAAAAAGAGAAAGATTGGAGAAAATGAATTGCACCTTGACCCAACCCACCATTGGATCATTTGGTCATTGCATAAAGACCTCTTTTGAAACAAAATTGTAATGGTTCTCTAATAAATAATAAAATTGTCTTTGTTTTATTTTAAAAAGAATAATAAAAGAAAATTTTCATTATATATGCTCTAAAAAGCACAGGTTTAGAAGGGTAAATTAATTAAGATGTTGAAAATCTTATTTTTGACACAGACGGTGAAACTTATCGTGTATAAAGAGAATAAAAAACAGACCGTGAGCATCGTGCTCATGCCCTGCGAGTCAAGTCGCATTAGCTATCTCATGATGCACTTTCTTCTTTTTTGGGTTTGAGTTCGAGTTCGATCTGATCCCTTATCAACTTCTTCAAAAAAACAAGAAAAAAAAAAAAAAAAAACAGACCGTGAAAATTTTTAAGCGAACCTACTGAGAAATTCTTCACACACAATTGTATATCATATCAACGCGATTCGTCCATACATACTGATTATTTAATTACAAAAAGAGTCCTTATAACTTTGTATTTTAAGGTATAAATTAAAAATATTTTTTTATATTAATTATTATTAAAAAATAAAATTTAATATTTATTTAATTAATTATTTAATTAAAATCATATATAACATTGATAATAAAATTAATGTTAATTTTTATTATTTTTATATTAATTAATATTTAAAAAAATAACACCTGACCTGAATCACCTTAAAAGTGCAATCCCCTTCTCTCTTTAATAGGTTTGAAGTTTGAATCCCATATTTATCACTTTGTTCAAAAAAGAAAATTAATATTAAAAAATATTAATTATATTTTTAATCTATTTTCTTAAACTATAAATTAAATAAATGCTTAAAAGTAAGGGCCATTCTTCCATACATCACCGATTATTTATTGTATTAGAAACATGATATCCCTTTCCAAGAAGGAATTTTCAACCTGCATTATTCATAGTCCAACCCAGCCATCATCAACCATAAAAAATTCCACTTCTGCCTGTCTGAGTACCATGCTTTCGGAAGGAAAAAAAGTCCAGATGATTCCTACCAAACTCTTGTTCCGTATTTCGTGGCTTTTCTTTGTTCTTTTTTGCAAGTTGCTCTCGGTGGAGACCGCGGTGGCTCAAAATACTATGGCCTCCGCCACGATTCCGGTGAATGTGGGGGTGGTTCTTGATCTGGATACGTGGGTTGGGAAGTTAGGGTTGAGTTGCATCAACATGGCCATCTCTGACTTTTATTTCAACCATAGTAACTACAGAACCAGGCTAGTTTTAACTGTAAAAGACTCTGAGGGCGATATTGTTGGGGCTGCCGCTGCTGGTACGGCCTCTTTTTTCCCCTTTTCTCTTCTTCTTTGCTTCTTTTCCCTGCAATCACCTAGCCACTTCACTTTGCCTACTTTGGCGAGTTAATATATATTTTTATATTTTATTGAACAAAAATTTATTTAACAAAAATTTATTTTGCAATTCAAATTGCATTTCTTATCATATTATTACTTTCTTTATTGATTTTGAGTGGATTCAGTATCTTGCGTTTAAATTTAGTTGTTTATTTATTTTTTAAAGATATTATTTAATACATTTATTTTTTAAAAATATTATTTAATATATTTATTTGTACTTTTACTTATTTAAAAAAAATAATTATGGCATATATTAAAAAAAAAACCTCATTTAAGTAGCACTTGAAGTTATATATATTTATAATAAATTTATGTGTTTTAAATTTTTGTATATTTATTAATTAAAAATTAATTTTAATTATGAGCCAATATCATTATAGTTAATAATTATTAAAAAAATATAATATAGTCAAACCACATATATATAAGGCGGCTTTAGGGTCTAATTAATTAATTAAAATAATACATACAACATTAATATTAAAATTAATATCAAACTTTTTATTTTATTTTTTCTATATGAATTAACAGCTAAGAAGTACATTAATTAGCCAATTGCTAGTTGGCAATTAATGCAAGCACAGCTAAACTTGAATTAATTTTCTGAACAGCTCTGGACTTGATTAACAATGTCCAAGTGCAAGCAATCATAGGACCAAGAAATTCAATGCAAGCAAACTTCATGATAGCCCTCGGAAACAAATCTCAAGTGCCCATCATCTCTTTTTCCGCAACGAGTCCTTTCCTAATTTCCTCAATTAGAAGTTCGTACTTTTTTCGAGCAACCCATAACGACTCATCTCAGGTCAAAGCCATTAGTGCCATTGTCCAAACCTTTGGATGCAGAGAAGCCGTGCCCATATATGTAGACAATGAGTTTGGAGAAGGGATTATACCTTACTTATCTGATGCTTTAGGAGAGGTTAATGTTCGGATTCCTTACCGGAGTGTTATCTCTTCCGGAGCCACCGACGAGGAAATTGAAAGAGAGCTATTTAAGTTAATGTCAATGCAGAGTAGAGTGTTCATTGTTCATATGACCCCAGATCTTGGGTCTCGGCTTTTTGACAGAGCAACAGAGATTGGAATGATGAGTGAAGGATCTGTTTGGATAATAACTGATGGGATGACTAATTTTTGGAGTTTGATTCATCATTCTGATCATATGGATTCCATGCAGGGTGTGTTGGGTGTAAAGCCTTATGTTCCGAAATCAAAAGAGTTGGAGAGTTTTAAGGTAAGATGGAAAAGGGAATTTGTGCAAGATAATCTCAGTATGATGAATGCTGAATTAGACATTTTTGGATTATGGGCTTATGATGCTACATTTGCACTGGCCATGGCAGTGGAGGAGGTACTAGGCACTGCAAAATTCAACTTCAATACATCAAATCTTGAATCTTTTGGCTGGGTTTCTCAAAATGGTCCCAAACTCATCCAAGCTTTGTCAAGTACGAGATTTAAAGGCCTTAGTGGAGAATTTGGGTTTGTCAATGGGCAACTAGAGTCCCCAGTTTTCCAGATTTTTAATGTAATTGGAAATGGTGAAAAGGGGATTGGGTTTTGGACGTCAAAGGAAGGACTAGTTAAAAGACTGGACTCCACTTCTAATGCCAATCTTGGAACCATCAGATGGCCGGGGAATTCATATTCCATTCCTAAAGGCTGGGAGATTCCGATGAATGGGAGGAAGTTGAAGATTGGAGTGCCGATGATAAAGGGATTTAATGAATTTGTCAAGGTGACATGGGATCAAAAGACTAATTCATCTACTGTCACAGGAAGTTGCATAGATATCTTCAATGATGTCATGAAGCTAATGCCATACCCCGTCCCTTACGAATTCTATCCCATTCAAATGGAAAAGGATGAAAGCTACAATGATATAATCGATCAAGTCTTTTTTGGGGTTAGTAATTTGTCATTTGAGTTTATATTTAATTCATCATCTTTTAGTTAACAAGCCTACATTGGATTTCTTAATTGATAATAACCTTGGTGTACAGAAGTATGATGCAGTTGTGGGAGACATTACTATCGTGGCAAACAGGTCATTGTATGTTGACTTCACAGTACCATTTATGGAGTCCACAGTGGTGATAGTGGTTCCCATAAGAAACAATCCAAATAATAATGCATGGGTGTTCGTGAAGCCTTTATCAGGGGACCTTTGGATGGCTAGCTTTTTGTTCTTTGTCGTCACAGCAAATGTTATCTGCTTTCTGGAGCGCAACAATAATGAATATTTCCGTAGACCACCTTTACATGGTGTTGGAACTGGATTTTTGTTCAACTTCTTGACCGTGTTTTTTGCAGACCGTAATAATCCTAGCCTTTCATATACTCAAGCTCTTTGGGAAAAATAATGGAGTTGACGAGTTTGACTTAATTACACTTCTAGTTCCATACATAAATAGCTAATTCTATTTTTGCATTTTCAGGGGACAAGGTGTCGGGCAATTCAGCTAAAATTGTGGTGGGGATGTGGGGCATTGTGATGTTAATTCTCACGCAAAGCTACACGGCCAACTTAAGTTCTCTTTTGACAGTTCAACAGTTGCAACCAACTGTGACTAACGTAATTGAGTTGTTGAGGAATGGGGAGAATGTTGGGTACCAAGCTGGCTCTTTCACGGAGGAAATAGTCCAAAGGTTGACATCTGATCGATCCAAGATGAAGAAATTTACTTCACTGGAAGTTCTTGATGAACTATTTACTAATGGAAGTATTGCAGCTGCTATCGACGAAACTCCCTACATGAACTTGTTTCTTACTAATAAGAGCCATTGCAACAAGTACACCACCTTGACAGAACCAACTTTTAGGACCGATGGCTTTGGATTTGTGAGTTCTCTTTCTTTCTTAGCCCTTTCATTATTCTTAATCAAGCTGATTTAATCTGCAAAATAAATTTGTAATTAATAGGTCTTTCCAAGAGGTTCTCCTCTTGTAGCAGATGTTTCAAGAGCAATCCTTAATGTCACTGAAAGCTTTAGAACAGGGGATATTGAAAATGCATGGAAGAAACAAACCAATTGTCCTGATTCAAGCACCTTGGATTCTTCAAAGAGTCTAAGTCTTGCAAGCTTTTGGGGCCTTTTCATAATTACCTACTCGACCAGTGTATTCGCTTTTAGCTACCATTTAGCGAAGGCTTTGTATGAGCAAAGGGACGTTGGAATTTCATTCTGGAGAAGAATCCTTCAAGTATTGGGAAACTCCGACCAGAAAGACCTGACCTTGCAGACCGTCAGGCAGCGTAGATTAGAAGAGGAAGACAACAATGTTGAAATCATTACAAGTAGAGGTGCTGTTGAAGCCCCTGTTGAGATACCTGATGATATAAGTGGCACAGCAACATGCATGGAAATAGAAAATCATGGTAGCACAAACAGCTCATGAAAATGCTTAACCCAAAAATAGTAAACAGCATTAGTGTGGTTTCCAGTCTTTTATATGGGTTTTCATCCAAGTTAGACTTTTGTATTGGGCTATGTTTGTATATTGTGCATAATATATAATTGTAGTAGTTTAGTATGTATGCATATGCTTCACATAGAATTAAAACATCAACATCCAAGTTAAGAAATAAATTTCTTACTGGTTGAGCTATACAATGGCTAATAGATTATTGAAAGGTGTTAGAATATTAGTATTTATGTTAAAATATTAGCATTCATATGTTTATGTTATAATTGATTGTATACATTTAAATTAATTGATTTTATATTTTTTTAACAGTGAAAAATAATTATTATTTATGATTCTGGGTACAAGGGTACCCAACCCGTTGCACAGAGCATGAATCATTTTAGTACATTGTTTATCCAAAACTATCACTAGGATTTTAAATTTTGACAACAACCCAAAATATGTCAATGTTTTGTTCCACTCACCATGCCACATTCAAGGCAACCCACTGGTGCAAGCATCCAGTCAGTATAACTAAATACGCAACATCTTGATCTCCCTTTGATCCAACGGAAACTCTTACTTTGAACCAAATCAAAAATTATGTCGTCATCCATTCCTAACATTCCATAAAGACCACATGGTAGAGAAGCAGACAACGTCCCACCCATCTCTCACATTCTTGATTTTGAACAAAGAATTACTTTGCTCGACAAAGCCCATTCCAGATCCAGCCATGACCGTGGAAATTCCCCACCACTTGAAACATTTGGACCAAATATAGAAGGGTATTGGGCAATGTAAAAACAAATGTGCAGAGTTTTCACTTAATTCCCCACATAGATCACAGTTTGTTTGGTTGAAGTCTGTGATGATACCTCTGTTAAAAAAATTTAGTCTTGAAGGGAGCCTTTCTTGTAATGCTTGCCACACAAATACACTAACCTTTGCAGGGATCAGTTTATTCCAGACCCTTTTTTGAGTTTCCTCCATTCCATCTCCATGCTATGCTGATAAAATGCAATACCTTCCACTCTTTTCATGCTTCCATAACTAACAATCATCTTTATTTTTACCATAGTTGTTGATTCCAATAATTGCTTGAGCTCTGACCAGTGGTTCTCCTCCCATGAGAGTAAGGGACGATGCCATTGTAGTGTCAATTGCCATGAGCCATGGATCCATTTTCCAAGTTGATGCACACTTGAATCCTTTTCTGCAGACATCAAAAATAATCTGGGGAATCTGTTAGATAAAGAATTCTCCCCAATCCAATTATCTCTCCAAAAGTTAACCATTCATCCCTCCCTTACCACCAATCTAAAACCACCCATTAACCACCCACTATGGCTGACATCCAAATCATCTATCCTAAATAAGTCCTGCCACCATAGTGACCCTACATTCTTTCGTTTCTGCATCCACTCAGCCCAATTTCTTCTTTCCTTACCATATTTTTCCTTTATGATTCTGCACATCAAACTCTCCTCACCACTCGCCATTCTTCCCCACCATTTCCCTAACAGTGACAAGTTGAATTTCCTAATGTCCTTAACCCCAAGTCCTCCCTGTAGCCTATTTCGACTTACCACCTCCCATCTAACCCAATTAATCTTCTTACTTGCATCATTCCACCCCCATAAAAAGGCCCTTCGTATTTTATCAAGAGAAGAAATCAAACCTTTTGGCAAGAGGAAGACAGACATGACAAACACCGGCAGGCTAGACAGCACAGGGTTGAGAAGGATCACTCGACCACCAAAGGAGAGATACCAACTTTTCCAAGCTAATAATTTCTTCTGAAATGATTCCACCAGTGGCCTCCACATAGCTATACTCCTATGATTCCCACCCACGGGATGCCCAAATAATTAAAAGGCATCTCACCTTCTTTATAGTTCAGCATTAACAGCATTTTGGCAATCCAATCTTCATGCACCTGAACCCCAATTAGCTGGCTCTTTTTATAGTTTATTTTCAAGCCTGAAACAAGCTCATATGCCCTCATAATACACTTAACGGCCCAAATATTATTGTCCGTAGCTGCACCATAAATGATTGTGTCATCCACGAATTGAAGGTGAGACACCTTCATCCCCTCACTGCCAACTTCGGCTCCTTCAGAAAGCCCAAGAGAAACAGCCATAGAAATAATGCCATTCAGACCCTTAGTTGCCATCAAGAACAGATAGGGTGACAATTGGTCGCCTTGCCATAATCCCCTGCTCACCTTAAATTGTCTTGTGGTGCTGCCATTAATAGTATTGACACATCAAAGCTTCTTAAGCATTCATAGATCCATCCTCACCATTTTTCACCAAAGCCCATGCGTTGCATCATATAGTCAAGAAAATCCCAACAAACTTTGTCATAGGCAGGGACGGAGGCAGAAATTTTTTTCAAGGGGGGCAAAATACTAAAATTTTCAAAGTTCAAGGGAGGCTACATAATTTTTCATATACTAATTTGCAAGATTTTTAAATTTCAGGGGGGCGAGCGCCCCCCTCGCACCCCCCTGGCTCCGCCACTGGTCATAGGCATTCTCAAAGTCCACCTTAAAACAAAAACTCCCTTTTCTTCTCCTATGAGCGTCATCAATGATTTCATTTGTAGTAGGTGCTTTTAAACTTTCATAGGACCAAACTGCATTTAACCTCCTTCTCACGAAAAGGAGCTACTAACAAGTCATACTCTATTGGAGAAATCATTTAAAGTTAATCCCATCCAAATAGGGCCGATCCCAATCCTCTTCTTGAAAAGCTTTCTCAAAATAAGCTGCTACTTCTTCCTTAATTTCTGTGACCTCCACCTGTTGTTTATCATTGATCGTGATGCAATTTACCTCATTCCTCCTTAATTATTCTTCCTTTCACAGACATGTGGAAGAACTTTGTGTTGGCATCTCATAATTGATTTTATATTTAAAAATATTTTATTATATAAATTTATATATAAATCTTTGGTATATATAATGAAAACAAAAAAGTAACAAACATTTTTTTGAATATTTTTTTTCTTTTAAGTTTATAATATAGTATCAGAACTATAAGTTCTTGGCTTGGCTCTTTCGTCTTTTTCTTTTCCTTTTCTTTCTTTCCTTTTTTTTTTTTTTTTTTACAATCATTGTTCTATTTAGGATTCATCAACGCGAAAGGGCCTGATTGAGTAGTTTAGCGCTTTGTTTTGTTGGTGGTTTTGGTTCGTTTGGTTTGATTTATGTTGATTCGATTTGATTTATTTTTGTTGGTTCGATCTGATTTGACTTATGTTGGTTCATTTTCTGCTAGTTTAGTTTCTGCTGGTTCGATTTCTACTAATTCATTTTCCATTGGTTTTCTTAGTTCTCAGGTTGATTTCTAAGGTATTTTGTTGAGTTTTTTTTTTTTTTTCGATTTTGATACTTATTTTTTCATATTTTTAAGAGATTTTTTTAATATTGTGAGTTTTGCTAATTCTATGATCAGTTTTGAAAGAATTGTAACTTATCTTATTACTGTTATAGTTACTAAAGAAGTGATCGACTAACCCAATGTAATTCTTGAATCTCTAAACTAAGTGATGTTAAATCTCTTCAATGCTTCTATTGCCTTATTTATTGCTCTAGGTATTAAATATTGGTATTTTGATTTTGGTTGTTGTAATCAATATCTTCAACTACTACTAATTTTTCTTGAGTGTCACCAAATAATTTCTTTCATGATATTTATTCTATTGATGGATCTCTTATGAATATTAGTCACATTGGCAATATTTCTACAAATTCATTAACTTTACCAAACATTATCTTGGTTTCAAAACTTATTTATAATATGTTGGTCAATTATGTGATCTTGGCCTTGAAAGTAACATCCTTTGCTTATGGTTGTCATGTGTAAGACCCACAGACAGAACAACTTCTTGGAATAGGTCAGAAGGTGGTGCACATGTCTGAGCTCAATTATTCGCATATTCCATATCATTAGACTGATGCACCATCATTTCCAAATGATTGTTTCATTCTAAGCCTACTTTGTGTTCCTTGCAAATTCCATGTCAACAAATCTTCCAAATTTTTGCTACTTCTAACATTTCTCCTCTCCATCCATGGCACTTATGGCTTAAACATACTTTAGTTGGTAAACTTCATCCTCTTATCTCTCATGGTTTATTAGGATATGTTAAGAATAAATCTTTGCACTGTGTGTCATGTCATTTTACAAAACAACCAGCTTTTTCTTTTTCAAATTGTCATTCTATTTTTGCTACTCTTTTTTATCTTGTTCATTTTGATGTTTGGGGTCCATCTCCTACATCTATTATAAGAGGGCTCTAGGTATTTTGTATTATTTTTTTATGATTATACTTTTTTTACTTAGATATATCTCATGAGAAATGACTTTAAATTACCACAGATTTACATTGAATTTGCTACCATGATCAAAACCCAATTTTTTAAAACTATCAAAGTTTTGAAAACTAATTAAGCTATAGAATACCCATGTACTAAACTTAATTATTTTCTCAAACAAAAAAGTACATTGACACAACAATCTTGTCGTTACACTTCTCAATAGAATGAGTGAGTTGAACATAAACATAGACACATTGTTGTATCTGTTTGTGCTCTACTCATTGCTTCCTTTTGTCTTGAGCGATTTTGGGGAGAAGCTACCTTCACTGCTATTTATCTCATTCATTAGATTTCATCATTAGTTATCAATAATCAATCTCCATATGAGCATTTATATGGTACTTTTTTTTGCCCATGATCTTAAACCTTTTTTGCTGTGTTTTGTTTTGTTCTTTTTCTATCTCATGAACACAAGAAGTTAGGGCCTTAAACTCAATTTTGTTGCTTTTTGGATTATGGGATTATATGATGAAATGCATTTTATACGCTTTAATCTATTATTTTAGCCTTAATATTGTTACTATTTACATGGACAAGATGTGATTGTCAATAGATTTTATATAATTTTCTTTTTTTTTTTTTTGGCAGAAAAGGATTTGAATGCATAGTGATAGGGGTTTTTGAAAGTTGAGGGATCGAATTGCTAGGAAAAAGGTTCCTTTGAGGGACCTAAATGAATGAATCTGAAGTTGTGACATTAAAGTGTTATGATATAAAAGTTGGAGGACCAGATCTGCCATTTCACCATTAAAGAAATTGCGAGAGGTCTAGATGCCCGACACGGGTTTGGTGTCCACACCCACTTTTTGGTGTCAGTTATTCATTGTCCTCCCCATACTTGTAAATCATTCAAAGACCTCCCTCTACTCCTCTAAACCATATTATTGTACTCCCTCTACTTTAATTTTCCATTACATTTACATCCTTTTGGACAACTTTTTTTTATATAATCTTATACGTTATTTAAATGATTGGCTTTTTTTATTCATTTGATACCTATGATATTAAATGCATTAACTTATTTAATGATATATAAAAATTATATAAAAAAATAGTACAAAAAGTTGTGCCTAATCACTGCAATTTTTTCTTTGCTTGAACTCCTATCTTGGGCCCCTAAAATGCCATGTCAGTAGCCAAGATTCTCAGCAACATTGGTCAGATCAGTACGATGTGGGCACCAAATCATGGATTCTTCCCACCTAATCCTAGACCTCCCGTCATCTTTACTCACCTGGGAACCGATGTGAATGCCTCTAGAGATCACCATTTCCTTTCTCTCTGAAAGTTATGATCTACCCTTCCTCTTCTTCAATCCCACTACCAAATGGTAAGATTCTCAAGCTTCTCAGAGTTCTCTTCTTCTTCCAATGAATTCATGTCATGGAAGCCATTTTTAATCATGTGCTTCCTCTGAATCAACCTGGTTTTGTGCAGAAAAATTATGGTTTCTTCTACTCGCATTCTACCCCTAATCTTTCCCTTGTATTGGTGTCTTGGACTAGAGATATTTTGGTAAGGGCCATAGATCTAAACCCCTTGAAACCTCTATTGTTTATGCATGACTTTCATGATGTTTGCTGCATGATTTAGCTACTAAAAGTCTAGTTTTATATGGTTTGAAATTCTGCTCTGTATGCACCTAGTTAAGTCTCGGTTTTTCCTTGTTATGGTTTGTGATTTTGCTGTTGTTTCATTCCGATCTCTATCTTGTTTTCTGTATTATTTTGTTGTTCTTGTTGTTTTGTGCATTGTATGTTGTTTTCTAGCCTCCAAGTTTGCTCGGCTTTAGCTTATTTTACTCCTCACCGTTTGTTTTCACATCTGATCAATCATGCACAAAATTCTACTATTATTTAGCCTCTGAAATTATATGTTTTTACTGTTATTTATGCATTGTTTTGTTTAGGTTTATGCTGCAAAAACATCTGTTTATGTAAATTTCTACACCTAAATCATGCACAACAACCTAGAGCAGTTTAGATTTTTAGTTATGAATGGCTGTTATTTTCTACCATTTCTATTAAAAATAAAAAAGAAGAAGAAATATTTGAAGAAAGATTTATTGCTTTCTTGAATAATACTATATGTAGAATGACCTATATATAGGTGTTTACAAAGATAATATTTTAGGTATAAAGTATACAAAGAAAATATTTTAAGGTATAAAATATTTACAATAATTATGAATATAATTCTATTTACATCGTAACATCCCCCTCAAACTCAAGGTGGTTGTGATGAAACCAACTTGAGTTTGAAAAGAAGAGTACGAAACCATTTAAGAAAACGAGCCTTGGTGAAATGGTCAACTAGTTGATCAGTGGAGCTAATGAAAACTAAATGAATAGTTCCTTGTGCAACACGATGGCGAACAAAGTGACAATCAACCTCAATGTGTTCAGTGCGTTTATAGAAGACATCATTATGAGCAATTTGCATGGCACTCTGATTGTGATAATAAAGATTAGTAGTAAGCGGTTGAGAAATACCCATATCTTCTAGTAGCCAACGTAAATTAAGTAACTTTGATATGGTGTCTCCAAGTGCTCGATATTCGGCCTCTATGCTAGAACGTGATGAAACTGTCTACTTCTTACTATGCCAAGAGATTAAGGAATCACCAAGAACAAGACAATATCCAACGGTGGATTTATAATCATTAGAGTCTTTAGCCCAATTAGCATCAAAGTAAGTATGAAGTTCAAGAGATGAATGAGTAGAAAAGTGAAGTCCATGAAAAATGGTATCTTTAATAAAGTGAATAATGTGAAGTACTACTGCATGGTGAGTGGAGCTAGGTGTAGCCATAAACTGGTTAATGACATGAACTGCATAAGCTATGTCTAATTGTGTTGTAGTAAGATAAATTAAACTTCCAACCAACTATCTGTAACAAGTAGGATCAACTAATGGAGAACCATCCATTGGTGTAAGTCAAACATTTGGCTCAAGTGGGGTAGATGAAGTCTTACTATCAGTGAATCCAGCTTTAGATATAAGATCATAAGCATATTTTGTTTGGGAGAGAAGATAACCATCATCATAAGAGGTGACCTCAAGTCCCAAGAAATAGCTCAAAACACCAAGATCTTTCATCTCAAACTTATGATTGAGAAATTGCCTAAGATCATGAATACCTAAAATATCATCCCTAGTAATGATCATATCATCAACATAAAGAAGTAGTAGAACCATACCATGATTAGTCTTGCGTATAAACAGTGCAGTATCATGAGGACTCGAAGTAAAATCAAGTTCACTGATGGTGGTAGTAAACTTGGCAAACCAGGCTCGAGGTGCTTACTTCAAACCATATAGATGGCAAACTTTTGTTTGGAGGATGCTCAAGTCTAGGAGGTGGTTTCATGTAAACTTCCTCTACAAGATCACCATTTAGAAAGACATTTTTCACATCTATCTAAAACAATTTCCATCCTTCTACAACAACAATAGCAATCAAACTACAAATTGAAGTAGGACAAGCAACATATACTAAGGTTTCCTCATAATCAATCCTATATTCCTAAGTAAATCCTTTAGCAATCGAACAAACCATATAGCACTTCACAGAACCATCAGATCGAGTTTTGATCTTGTACACCTATTTACAACCTACTAGAGGCTTTCCAGCAGGAAGATCAACTAAATCCCATGTACGAGTTTTCTCAAGAGCTTGTAAGTCATCTTACATAGCTTGTTACCAAAGAAGGTTAGAAGATGCCTATATATAGGATTGAGGCTCATGTAAGGAGGTAATAATAGGAAAACAATGATAATCACAAAGATTGTTAAGAGGATTTCTTACCTGAGTAGGATGACTTGAAGGTGGATTAATGATCTCATTTTCAAGCTCAATATCAATAGGATTAGATCTAACAGGTGAAATAGAAGAGATAAGGGAAGAAGACTCAACATTATCTAATGCATTACGAGTAGGTAGAGCATCTTTTGTTGAACCAGGTGCAGCATGTGAAGAGGCATCATGGAGCTCATCAAATGTGTTTGCATTAGAGTCACTAGGAAATAGCTCAATAGAAGGGTTAGTAAAAAGTGGAGGTTGATCAAAAGATGACGCTTGGAAGTTTGATAACAAGGAAAACACAATGTGTTTCCAAAAGACAAGATGACGTGACACTCGAAGTTTTTGTGAAACAAGATCCGAACAATGATATCCTTTATGTGTAATCCCACAACCCAAAAAACAGCATAATCGAGCCTAAGGCTTTGGCTTGTTATGTGCATGAGGTGGAAGAAGAACAAAATAAGTACAACCAAAAACCTTAAGAAGATCATAGGTAGGAGGAATACCATGCAAACATTCACATGGAGACTTATTATTGATAATTGATGATGGAATTTGATTAATGAGATTAATAGCTATAAGAGTAGTTTCACCCCAAAATCGTTTTGAACAAGAAGACGAAATGAGCAGAGCATGAATAAAATCAAGGATGTGTCTGTGTTTTCATTCGACTTGTCCATTCTGTTCAAAAGTGTAAGGACAAGATTGTTGTGTCAGTGTACCATGTTCTTTGAGAAAGGATTGAAGTTTAGTACTGAGATATTCAGTGGCATTGTTAGTTCTCAAAATTTTATAAACCCTAGAAAACCCAAAATGTCGCTGCCTTGTGGTCCCTTGGGTTGGAGTTTCCAAAGCAAGACAACGACAAGATGAAGGAGGAGATCAAGAGAAGGAAGTGAGGGGTAATAAGAAAGGAGGGATGAAAGAACTCCTCTACCAGAGATAAGCCCTAGGGAGGAAAACCTGTCGGCACTGCTCTTAACCCTAGAAGTAGTGCACGAGAGAAACCCTAGGGAGGCTCTATGTAATTTTAAACAAACTAATGAGTATTAAATTCTATGGAAACCTCTAGCTTAAAAAGGGTGAGCTCCTAACTCTCTTCTCTTCCTCCACTACCACATGTGAGCTAATTACCTCTCGGTCTCATAGTTTAACACACGATTTATATTATTATTCGTCTAATTTACGCAATTCTTTCTCAAATTCATACATAAATCATTAAATCAATCGAAAGGTGATTAGGCTTTCAATGAATTAAATTCAATAATATAAACTCATCATATAAATAACTTTAATTGAAAATATAAAAATCACAAAATCTATATTAAATTGATTAAGTTAGTTCGTAGCCTTAGTAGAACAAATTAGTTCATAATAAAAATAATAAAACTTGAAATTATAGTCATAAAAATTCGAATATCAAACAATAGATAAAAATAATTTAAAGAAAAATAAAACTTAATTTGAGGAACTTGAGCTCCTTAATTTTCTATTGTTAATGAAGCTTCTAATAGGCTGCCACCAGCCTCCTCCCCTAAGCTCTCTCAATTTTAAATTTGGTTGGTTATTTATAGGATTTTAGAAATCCTAATTGAAATAGAAATAGGACTTAGAATAAAATAGAAAACTTGAATTTTGGACGCTGATTGCATGGTGCTGATACTGTGAATTACGTGTCGACACTACACCCGTGTCGGGTTTTACCCTAGTTTTGCAGTTTCTTCAATGGTTAAATTGCATATCTAGTCCTCCATATTTTGTATGATTAGCACTTTAGACCCTGAAACTTAATATTCATTCATTTAAGTCTCAAAGAAGTGCCTTTCTTCTTGCAATTCAGTCCCTCAACTTTCACAAGATGTTCAATTAATTCCAAAAACTCCTATTATTATGCATTCAAGTCTTTTTCTGCACAAATATATTATATAAATAATAATTAAACTTTTTTTATCAAATTAAAGCACTTAACAA